TATGCATATATGCACAAAGCCACTGCTGGTTTGCTCTTTGAATACGTAGTATTCCAACCACTTGACAGTTGACCATGATGGTGCGATGCGTAAGGGTCTCTCTAACGTCTTCATCGAACAGGATGATGATGAAATATTAGCTTTAGCGAACCACTAGTAAGTGGCGATCATCAGATTTTTCACCTACTTGAGCGCAATGTCTTGAATTTTTCAAAAAATGCCCGCTTGTTTGCTTTTCGTTTTGTGTGTCTCCATTAGACCTAACGTCTATATCGCACTGATGAGCTGATAATGAGCATAAAACAACGCTGTCTGCATTTGTTCATGGTTACAGAGGATGGAAATCAAGCATGCTCATTTCAACCATGTTCCTTAATGTTAAAAAACACGTTAATGTCTCTCGTAAATCGACAACACAATTGCTTCTGTAGGCAACAAAGAAAACATTTCCACACATTGTGTATAACATAAACCCCCATTCCACTACATCATCATTGGACGCTGCCTGGCGGGCATTAACATCATTTCCCGGCCAATTATGTTAATATCGCGCTTGTACTATGTTTTTATCAGTATTACTCATCCTGGTCTGGCATTCACGTAATTGCCCGGTCATTAGAGTTAATGCCCGAATTATCGGCATTGCCGTAACATACGTATGTATACATTATTTGGAAACCAACTTTAACTTGAAAGATGATAAGATTTAGAGTTATAGATACACAAAGAACAATGATCGTTGCGGGGGGCGATTTCTGAGTCGACATCTTGAGTAATATCAATCTATACCAGGAGTTCCCAACCAGGAGGGCGCGCCTCCCAAAGGGGGCATAGAGAGATGTCACAGGGGCGGAAAGAGTTTGCATTTTAGAAAGAAAAAGCATAAAAAATAAACAAACAACATTAACAAATAACATTACAATGTAATGTTTAATTTACACGCATAAAATTAGAAATTAAATATCATATTCACTGAGCCTGTCAACCGCTGTTTCAAAACCCGGCGTCGTCAATCGCAGTTCATACAAGTTTCGACAAGTCACAACATGAAATCCGCGCTCACCCCCGCCGCGCTCCGCTTAACATTCACCACTTAGAAATCAATTGTGTACCTATCAGACGCGGATGAGCATCTGTGACATTAATTCCCACAAATTTGACGTTTCGATGTACATGTTTTGTTGAGAAATCGGTTTGAGTGTGTCAAATTATTGTGTCTCACTGTTAAAAGGTAAGTTTGTGTAACTACAAACTTCAGTTACCATTTTCATTCAATTTACTAAATTGTTGTTTGAGTGGAGACGCGTTCATAGATCGGCAATTTTGACTCTTTTACCTCATCACAATCAAAGCAACGTGGCGAAATAATTTTGAAACGACGAACTTTAAGTACCTAATATTGATTCCAAATGTATTCAAAATTACTATCATAACGTCAACCTGCCTACAAAAATATAAATCTCCCTGTGGCCAGTATACAGTTGTATACATTACGATAAAATAATGGGCAAATAATTAATAAGTACATGTAGGTATTTTGCTTATTTATTTATTACTTATTTGTTTTATTGTTATAGGTGCAAAGTGGCAGCGAAAAGAAGAAAGTTTTAATGATAGCATGAGCCCCAATCGCCTTGAAACACATTTGAAGCAACAACATCCTACTATGCTTTTGAAGACGGAAGAATTTTTTTCTTCTAAAGCAGAATCACTCAAGCGGATGAGACTGGATTGATAGCAAAGCAAAATAAATCTCATACTATCGGTGAAGAACTAATAAAACCATGTGTTCTAAAAGCCACGTGGATAATTTTAGGAGAAGATGCAGAACAAAAAATGAGGTCTATTTCTCTTTCGAATAACACAGTCAAGCGTAGCGGTAGCAGACATAAATCCACAAATAATTAATAAAGTAAAATTATCGCCATTTTTTGCCATTTGTTGCGATAAATCCACCGACATTAATTGTGCATAGTTTATGTTCGTTACATCGGCGAAGATATCATTCAAGAAGAGATTTTGTACTCCCAATCTTTGACAGCAGGTACTACATCTGAAGATATATTTAATTCAATATCAATTTTAAAAAAAAATGATTTGGATTGGAAGAAACTCATTGGACTTTGCACAGATGGCGCACCTGCAATGATAGGTGTACAATCGGGCTTAGCTAAAAAAGGCCAATTTTCTCCATACAATGATTTTGTTACATGACACCTTTTTCCACTTGAGTCTTCAATTGAAAGAAGAGCTAATTCTTTTTCTTCAGTTCAAAGAAAAACAAGATTTCTTGACAATGTTCAAAGATGACACATGTCATTGGAGGTTGGCTTATTTAACAGGCATATTTGACTCCTTGAATGAGCTAAACTTGAAACTTCAGGGCAAAAACAACACTATAATAAGCAATTTTGATTATATTCAGAGGCTCATATCAAAGCTTCAACTTTGGAATCAAAAAGTGTCTTCGGAAATGTTATATCTTTTTCTCGGCTGTCATAAAAACTCATTTGCAAGCGCTGGAAGACGAATTTCGCCGATACTATCGAGACATCAATTCAGAGTCACCAATATGTCACATGACAAGAAATCCATTTGTTGTTGATGTGTCACAATTACCAGAAGAAGTGCAGGAAGAATTTCTAGAAATGAAGGCTGATTCGTTCATGAAAGATAACTTACACGTTTTAACATTGGAGAAATTTTGGATCAAAAAATTGCCTGTTAATTCGACACTTGCCTCTCTTGCTTTACGAATACTAGTTCCTTTTTCTTCAACTTACTTATGTGAGACAGGCTTTTCTGCTCTAGTTTTAATTAAAACTAAACAGTGAAGTCATCTTGATGTCGATAGCGACCTGATGATAGCTCTGGCAAAAAGAAAACCTAGAATCAACCAACTCGTACAGAACATGCAGTCTCAAGTGTCTCATTAGTACCTACTTGTATTTAATTCTAGTTTTTCGGTAAACTTATAAAGTTTCTTTATTAAAAATAAAATAAAAGTATTTGTACCTATATAATGTGCGTTTTTTTTGTATTTATTGAAAACGTAAAGGGGGGGATGAAAATATAATTTAACAAAAAAAATGTTGGGAAACCCTGATCTATACACACCTGTGCACGCATTTAATTTTATATTGCAATTTAAAACCATTGTGCATAGTTTTGGCGTACATACCTGTTCCATAGTGCGATGTGTGTAATCATATTAGGCATATATGAAAAATTTTCGAAATGAAAGGACCACATATGTACAAAATAAGAATGCAATAGATTAGAAGCAGTTCAACAAAAGCCATTTCTACGAATTGCACTTTAGTGCAGTCAGAAGCAGCCATAGCGAGCCATTTGCGGTTGAATCCAGAATTAGACACCGTCCTGTTTCGTTGTACAAGAAGGAAAGCGCCGAAATACTGAATTAACAGGGAAATTTACAGCTGCGGGTCCTTTTGTTTCTCCCCTATTCACCGTGGTGAAGAATTTATAGTAGATGCTGGTGTTGCCTTATCTAATTCGTATTTCGAGGTCTAACCACAGCCGCTTCCGTGTCAGCTTTTATAATGTAGTAGAAACAAGAGTAGAAATTGCGTAATTAATTTTGGGGATTTTACCACGGTATTATACCCCCAGAAATAGTATGGAGTACTTTTTTAGAAATTGTGCTCAATACGAAATACACAGAACTATCAAACTTTTAAGTGAAAATCTCCAGAGAAAAGATGTTAAAGCGTAACATATTCTAGATGGCACCGAGAGACGTTGAGAGAACAAAGCATGCCTATCTTATTGTGCCAATGGATTTTAACTAAAAAAGATCAAAGAATAATAATCTGAACCTTTCTGGTCATTTCTTCTATTATCTATATCATTCTCAATTTGAACAAACAAGCGAGTACTTTCGAAAAGTCGAACTAGGTGGAATATATTTCTCTATGCCTTTCCCTGTCTTTGATGTATGCTAACTGTGTACTGAGAATTTATAGAAGTGTTATGTGAATAATCATCATTCCGTGAAAATCAGTAGCTGCAATCTTGATTACCTTTATAGATTCTATGAAAAAAAAAGAAATGGCATCTTGCAATATAATAATCACTGATCTAATATACCCAAATAAATGTCAAATTGGACTGGGTACATGAATTCATTTTAATAATTAACAAGAAACAATACATTACTATAAATTGTATATTTTAGGCGAATTTAGAGAAAATTAGTTCGCCGAAAAAAAAAACAATTTCTAATGTATTTATTAAGTTTCACATTTAGTAGGTATGATAGAAATGCGTGAAGGGGTGACACTGCCAGCTACTTAAATAATTAAACAGGTCACAACCAATCGGGCATTAACGTTGAAGATGTTCTGTTAAGTCGCAGAGAGACTTATAATACTCTAGGTAGCTGCTCAATTATTAAGGTCTGTATTAAACCTCTCCTGAACCCAACCCACCACCACTCGCCAAAACACCAGTTACAGTGATAGCTGTATAACGCGCCGTTGTCAAATTGCGATAACAAAGTTGCTTTTACAACCGCGGCGTAAGTAGGCAGATCAAGTGGGGGACGTGGTCGAATAGATTTTCTCATCGTAATTCCTTATCTCCCGTATTTTTGAAAAAATCTCAAAAAAAAAATTATAAATAGACAGGATACCACTATTAGCATGTCATGAGCATCCAAGACCTAATAGAAAAAGTTTAGTAGACAATTTATCAAATAAAATTATCTGGAAAAAAAAGGTTTTTTTTAATACGTAAACATACTTTAACTAAATAAGGACAGGAAATTTGAGCTTGGACGCTTCTATATTTCTCGAAAAAGTATGGAAAAAAATTTAAAAAATTGGACAGAAAAAACGCAAATTTTTGAATAAGGTGTAAAAACCTAATGATACCCTCGTTAAAACATATACCGGCCATCATAAAAATCCAACCAGCAAACAGAGAAAAAGTACCGAAACAGGGCCTATGTTTAGTAAGCAATTTGAGAGAGAAAAAGTGGACACCGGCGGCTTTCGAACCCGCATCATCTCCATTGCGTGGAACCGACCTAACCAATTAGTCTACAGCACCAGATGCCAACCAACTTTAATCATCGACTATTTGAGGCAAATTCAATTCTACCCACGCCACTGTTCCTTTGTTTTTCCACGCTGCTTGATGCCATCTGGCGGCGTTCAAGTGAAACAATCGGCATCTCCAATCGCGTTCTAATTGCACCACGTCGTCTCGCAGGCACACACCACGGTATCACTGTGCGAGGGCAGCACAAGTGCCTCTGTGAGTAAAACAAGAAACATAACCACACATTGTATTACAACATTACTTTCCACTATATCATCTTTGGCTGCTGGCACTAATGACATTTCCCAGTCAATTATGTTAACTGCGCGCTTGTATTGTTTCACCAATATTACTCAACTTGGCTGGGTATTCACGCTATTGCCTGGCCATTATCCTCATTGTACGTAACGTATGCATACGCTGGCTCCCGGCGTTCCAGAAATACAGACAGACAGTTCTCTGAACATATGTATATTTGAAGAGGCGAGGTGTAGTGTTATTTTTACGGAAAGCCTTGCCAGCAACGGAAAGAGCGACACCCAGCGCATCTAAAAACAGTCCCTGTAACCACGGCATTCCTCGAGGACGTCGGGATGGTGGCAACTTTCATAAAAATCCAACGAGATTAGTCCGGAAACGTCCCGGACCTATAATAATTTATTTAGGTCTTGGTTTCCGGGTCATCGACAGTGTTGCCGTGTTGAACCGGAACATACAGGACGGTAGGAGAAGGTTTTTAAGATTTTTGGGGGTAAACGGCCATCGTCTAGAAATACAGAAAATGTCTTGGGTAACTCTTTTACTGAACGTCGAAGAATGTAAAAATCCCCTCTTCACTTGTAGATTCAAAAAACTATGATTATCTATATGACCTGTTTGCAGAAGAATGGATAAGATAAAAAGGTCGTCAAATCAAATCATTCACGCATGCAAGACACAGTCATTGTATGAGCACATGTCATTTTTGATACATTCAAGTGCATTCACAGATACGTTTTAAAACATTTTAAACACTCTTAAAAAGTGTTACTATTATAGTTATTCAACAGTTGTATTCACAAAGCACATCATACGTTCCATTACATAACACATACAGCTAAGTACAGTCAAAACCACTATCTAAAAATCTCTCATATAGTGTACAAAGCAAGTTATAGGAGATATTGTTCAACATGACTCTTAAAGTTATTCAATTCAATACCATTGGTCCGCAGAGATAGTTTATGGTATAACTTGACACCAATAACTTCTGGTCTGCTTTGACACTTGCTGATTCGGCAGAAAATAGGTCTGATTTTATTCATCTTACTTGTTTCATATTTATATATCACACTCTGAAGAGTGAACTGTTCCTCCTTTTTTTGACAGAAAATACACTTCCCAGAACGAGAACAGCAGGAAGACTTACGATGCTCAATTTTACAAAGACTTCCCTGCCGTCCCTCAGAAAAGATATTCCCGCTAGGCTAGTATTCTTATAGCCCTCCTCTGTAGCCTAAAAACTCATGCATGAGCTGCTCCATGAGGCAACTACTTACGGCGAGAATCGAGGTTTATTCCGAGGCCAAAAAAATTTTTTTGAGTTTTGTCAACATGCAGCACCAGTCTGTTGGCCTGGAGCCATTTGCTCAGCCCTCATCCATGCACCAAATCAAATATTTGAGCGCACGTGTATGGGGATTGTGGTATCATCATCAAAGACCATGTAAATTGCATTGTTGTCATATGCCGGTAAGTCATTGATGTATATCAAAAAAGTAAGGGGCCAAGGGTTGAGCCCTGTGTCCCCCTACTTTCAACTTTCTCTCTGATGAGACGGCATCCCCAAGTTGCACTTTTTGGTGTCGATTTTCAATGTGTGATTGGAATACTTGTATGCTGGAGCTGGAAAATGTATATGCCTCCAGCTTTTGAAGCACGATCGTATGTGATACACAGTCGACGGCTTTACTTAACTCCACAAATAGTGATGCACTATACTCTCGATTTTTGAATGCTTTCATCATATTTTAGAGCAGGTCCACAACAGCAAAAATGGTGCCTTTATGTTTCCGAAAGACAAACTGATGTTCAGAGAACAGACAATGATTTTCATAGTATTCAGCAATCCTTTCAACCATGCATTATTCAACGATTTTCGAGAGGCAATAGAGACACAGGAAAATGGTAATAACTATTACAATTCTTGTCAGAAAATATATTTTCTCGAAAGCATAATAGACATGACGAGTTGTCAATTGACGTAACTGCTAGCTTATTATTAATTTAACAAATCATACTGGCTTCAGCAGAGGACTTAACAAAACACTGATTTTGAAAAATTATATTTGAAAAGCCCGACCTTCAGTTTCTTTACCCGACGTTAAGTTGAGCCCTCATTAGCCCTGGCTAAAACAGGGAAATATCGGAATCTTTTTCGCTCTAGTCGGCAGGACTTATATTAGTCACAAATTTTTTGTTTAGTGCCTGCTTGATCTCTTAGTGCTTAGCGTGTAATTCTCGAAGCAGTGAAGCCAACAACCAGTATGAAAAGTATCTCCAGTTGAGGCACTTTTCATTTATCCTTAAGAATACTTAATTGTACTCAAACCAGGAAAATCGTTACTACTGAGATTATGGACATTCCTTGGACTTCATTATACAAAATTATTCCTCTAGAATGTAAATCATTAAGCTCGCTGAACCTATTGAAGGAAAAATAAACAATGGATTCATAAAAACCCAGGTCAGTTATCCATGCCACAAAAAAATGTACTTACCGACATTTTCATAAAAGAATAATTATAGCCATTAGGAATTAATCTATTTGCAATTCACTATGATAAATCATCTTAAATATGGTCGAATGCGTACAAGTCGGACTTTATTGACATGATGCCTTGTTTTAATTAAATACTTTTTAATCTGTTTCCTCTTCTATATTCTTCAGTTTCTTTCTACATTTTAGCACTCTCTTAGTGATTAATTATATTAATGTAAGTACTTTTGCATGATAACGTTACTACTAACTTCTAGATTTTAATGTGATTGTTTTATTTTTGTAGTTTTATTATCTCTAGTTGTCGCTCTATGTTCAGCACTAGTTTATATCGTTGGAGTTTTCCGTGTTTATTGCGCAATCGTGTTATTGGAATGTTTATCTTGTAAACTATTTCTTTTCCTACAATAAACCACTACTACTAAATGTTTTAACTAGCCTGACCTACGTCTATGATGCTAATTTTCTACACCCTCTTGTGATATGTAATATTTCGACCCCACATGTCAAAATGTATGAAATCGGAGGGTCGTGAAATATCCTGGACCTGACGTCATTGATTTACGGAGTCAATTTCCGGAATTTCCGGGTTAAAAACGTTTTTTCTGTCAGCTTTTGTCGGGATCCTGATGCGTCATTTACCTTCCCACACCAAATTGATGACATCAGATGCTGGGCGCTCAGTCCTGTGATATTTTATTTATTTCAATTTTACTAGATCACTCTGTACGGGATTTGCCTTTTCTTTTCCTTCTCATTTAACCATGACCTGTACGTCGGCATCCAACTCACCATTCTGGAAGTTTCACATACCTCAAAATCAATGAACTCGGTCGTGAAAACTCCTCAAACATAAATCAGCATATTCGTTTTTTTATGTTCTCGAATGTATTATAGCAAGGTATTAACCTTGCTCGATGAATTCAAAAACAACAGCTAATCTTTGTAACCTTTTAGACCATAGACTGTATATACAGGGTGTAAGCCAACAAGCGGCTATGGTTGTTTGGAATAGTCGAAGTATTGTGCGAGGGTAGGCGAAAAATCTACAGTTTCCCAAGTTGATATACTGTATGTAAACGTTATGATAGTCATTATTTAAATGGGTGATAGAGGGGGTCAAAACGGTATTTTTTTAGAGAAAAGCGACTTTAAAGTAAGACAACAGAACGGTTTTTCTTTTTTTACTCAAAACTGGCGCATCGAAGGAAAACAACTCAAGAGACGGAAGATTCAAAAAGAGAGAGTCTGTTGGCAACGTTGCAGTAATGATATTTTTCAGTTGAGAGATGGGATTCATACATCAAAGCAGTAATTTATGTGTAGGTACAAAGTTGCCGGTGATGAATTTGCGCTAGCTGAAGCTGGTTGGTTAAAAAAGCGGAATGGAGTGTAAATTAATTAGAATGTAAGGGAGGAAAAATGAACGCCTGCCGCCTTTTTTAATGAGGCACCAGAGGGCTAAATGGATCGAAACTTCATTAAAAAGGGCAAAGAGTCGATTTTTTCCATTTTGTAAATACTTTTAATAAAAGACGGACAGAATTGCGTGTATACCATTGATTCCTATCTAAAACTTTTTCTCTGGGGATGAAATCTTGAAAGCATCAAGTTGCCAACAAAGTTTTCCATTGAGTGTTTCGTGTTGTCTTTGATGTAACTTTTTTGAAGAAAAAACGTAGAACAAATGTCTCAGTGGGTGCAAGGTTCAGAAATTTTAAAATATGAATGACGATGTTTCTTAGACAACAAATACATATTCCTTCTAGAAAGACTGATATATGAATGGAAGAGCAAAGAAACAATAAAATTACCATTATCAAAAGTTAGGGGTTGCTTTAACGGTCAAAAATATTTTTTAAATTGGCAATGCAACCCCCCGATCTTCTGTATCGATCACCAGACAACGTTGTGGTGGTGTAAGAGTCGAAACATTTTTGCGTTTGGATGCGGGCACAACATTTCTTAATTCCTGGCGGCTATCTTCTTGATTTTGTCCATAATTAAAAGAGAATTCAGGCATTTGCCATATTCCTGAACCTTATTTGAAAACCTTTGGATAAGTTTGATGTTTGAACTATTATATACTAAGTGACATATAAATCCGAACACCCAGTTTAAATGGTTCTATTTTAATAAAAGTTGGTGAATGTATTTATCTTACTGTAAATAACAAGTGAAAAAATGTTCAGCCTTATCAGTTGGACATTCCGGTTTTTATACTGCTTTTTTTTAATTGACTAACGCTCTA